TGGGTCTTCTTTCCCTCTTCTGTCCAGAGGCCCTGGTGCCTCTCGGAAGCAGATGCAGGCAAGGGTTAGCGCTAGGCCAGCTGCTTGCCTGTGTATAAGTGGGGGCCCATGGAGAAGAGGGCAGCTGTGTGCTCCGACACGGCCAGCTGTGTCAGCTGCCTATGGCCGACAAGGCTCACATCAGAGGCTCTGTCCACATCCTTCCCTTTCCCTGTCCCTTTGTACTCACCTGGCCTGACAGGGGTCACATATCAGATATTTGAGTGAGGATTCAGAGCAGTAGCAAGATTACTGTCATGAAGTAGCAACAAAAATAATTTTATGGCTGGGGTCGCCACAGCATGAAGGGTCTCAGTGTTAAGAAGGTCAAGAACCCCTGGGCTTGGAGAATGGCACATGTCAGACCATGGAGAGGAGGGGGCAGAGGAAGGTGCTGTGCTGCTGAGGGACCTGGGGACCTGCAGGGGTCATTGAGCCTAGGTAGAAGGCAATGGGGTGTGTGCTGATGCCTTGGTCCAGGCCATCGCCTTCTCTGGCTCCAGTTTTCTCCCCTCAGGGTTGTGGCCACTGATGGCTCTGACCTTCCCTGAGGTTCCTCAGGTCTGAAGATGGCTGCAGAAAGTGCCTGCTGCCTGATCTTGGACTTGGGGACACGAGCGCTGACAGTTGGCCTTGGCTGCTGCATTTACTGACCACCTACTGTATACCTGCCTTGTGCTGGGGGCTGGGGAGCTACAGCTGCATCCACCACCTCTGTAGTGGTCACAGCAGGGGGTACAACACAGATGCACCCAAGAAGCCAGGAGGGCCACCTTGCTTTATCCAAACCCAGTCTGAAATGGTGGCTTTTCACAAGAGGACTTAGGATTCTTTACAAAATAACTTCCAGGAAGGTATCTTTAGACTCCCAAACTTGGGCGTGTTTGTGAGGGTTTTGATTTGCCTGGGCCTCAAAGGCGTTCTAAGCTCCTGCCTTCTCCTCCTCTCTTCTGTTTGTCCATGTCCTCGGCCAGGCGGCTGCTGAGCTTGGCAGGTACTGTTTCCTGTGGACTGTCTGCCTCTGAGGTACCTAACTTCTCAGATTCACCGGCTCCTGCCTCTCTTCTAGCCTCCTGGTGGCCCTGTGGTGCAGGGCCTGTGCCCTGCTTGTCCCATGAGCTCCTTGTCACTGATTCCCTGAGTCCCCCATCCCTCGGCGATGGTCTACATGCTTTCCCCCTATTCCTTCCACTGTTGTAGCTTAGGGTCTGTGGCGAGTGGGTGGAGAAGGTCTCTTTTATGAAGTGTCCCCGGGCTGTCTTGCCCTGCACTCACAGAAGAAGGAGAAAGCTGATGTCTGCCGAGGGAGGGCCATGCTCAGGTCTCTGCTGTGTTTGTGACGACCTCCCCTTCTGCCAACCAGCAAGCTGAGCAGAGGTCCAACTTGGGGAACCTCGTTCCTGTTCCTGTTCTTAGCTGTGTGTCCTTGGACAAGTGACTTCACTGCTCTGGGCCTCTTTCCTCATCTCTGCAATGGGTAGAGCAACCAGGTCCACCCCTTAGGGTGCGAGTGACTGAATGATACGGTGTGTGGTCAGGGCCTGGTTTTGATCTTATAACCAGATTCTTACAGGGCAGGGCTTGCATCCTGTGGCTGCTGTCCTGGCTAGGCCACTTTGTCTTTCTAGACCTTGTCTCGTCTGAGAAGCGGTCTCTGGTTAAGCAGGGATCCTGTTGGCAGGGGATGGCCCCTGGAATGACCCCAGGAAACAGAGCTGCCTGTTATTGGAGCTACGGGTTAGGTCTGTTTGCAATGTGGGGGAGGGGAGCTGTGACCATCAGGATGGCTCCTGGCTTCAACCCGAGACCTGAGACAGCTCTGAGGCCATGATGGGTGGTCCTTGGGCAGCCCAGCAGAGGGAGGGGGAGAGACAGGGGATGCTGGCGGTCTTGCTGCTATCTACAAAAGGGCTGCTTCTGGTTTGAATGGCGGGGCAGCAGGTGTGAGGCCTGGGCAGGTGTCAAGACAGATTGGGGATGAGGGACGAGGGAGAGGTCAAAGCCATGCATGAGGATGATGGTGGAGCGGAGGCACCAGAGGTTTGGGAAGGAGCCCACGGCGATACAGCCAGAGGGTGGGAGCAAAGCTTCAGGCTGCATCTCAGTTTGGGGCGGGAGTGAGGGGAGGACAACTGGCCTCGCTGATGTTGGTGACCCCCAGCCTGGAGATGCCTGGGGTGCACGCACAGTGGAGGCTGAAAGCGGGTGTAGCCAGTGGGGTGGGGGAGACGTAGACTGAGGTATCCTCACGCTTCATTGGAGGGTTCTCTGGGCACTGGGCATAATGGAGACTAATGTGATGTCTGCTGGGAAGCCGGTGGACGTGCAGCTCCGGCAAAAGTGTGGATGTGGAAGGAATTGGCAGGGAGGGAGGCACTGGATGGATCAGGCCGGAACCAGGTGGTTTGTGGAGACCTGGGCTCACAGCCAGCTCTGGCCTTTCTGCGGAGACGACCTTGACCTCGCTGGCCCCTGTCATCCCACATCTGCCTCCCCACGTCATGAAAAGTATACGTTGTTGTGAGGCTAGGGACAGTGCTGGACTTAGCATAAGATCCAGGGCTGGGAAGGGCTCAGGAGGTGCTGCGGGATATCATTATTTATGCCCTTATTATTATGTGACAGCCCACTGTGGGTGATCGGCAGGGTCTCTCCATTTCTAGAAAACAGGAAAGGAGTGCCTCCAAGAAACTGACAGAGCAGGGGCAAAGGGCAGGGCAGGACCACCTTGACCAAGCTGGCCAGTGGAGACTGACCTTGTCTGATTCTACCGGGTCAACAGGTGGGAAGCCCAGAGAGGGTAAGGGCTTTGTTCAAGGTCACACAGCAGCTGGTGATGAGAGCAGAACCTGTTGGCTGGGGGGGGGGGGGGTCTGGGTGCTGTGCCCCTCCTTTGTGAAGAAGAGAGGTGATCATTTATCAGGGGAGTTTAATAATGAATGAAGTCGAAGTGTCTCTAATGCAGGCAGCAGGCCCGAGGTAATAAAGGACCCTGTATTAATTCAGAAGTTAATGAATATGCAGGTGTGTCTGGATGATTAATGGGACTCCCGAAGGCCTCGGAGAGGAGGTGTCGAGCTGTTGCTGGCGGAAACATGAATATTGCACACATCTGGGAAAATGTGTAACCTGGGAGCAGGTGGGCATGAGCGAACTGGGGGACCGCAGTGGCCAGAGCACTGGAGACCCCCCAGGCAGGCCCGCAGAGGCGTGGCTAAGCCGTCTCACGGTCGTGCACAGTTGGCTTGAGCAAGTTAGTTAACCTTTGGGGGTCTCTCCGTCTTTGATGTAGGATGAGACAAGCAAACACACTAGTGACTGGTTCCCAGGATCCAGAAGACCAATTGAGGCAAGCCTTGTGGGCTGAGGCAGGCTTAGGAGGCCTAGCTGATCCAAACTGATACAGGATTTTGTGAGGGGAGATAAGCAGGCACCTGTGAGGCCCTGGGTTCAAACCTGAGCAAGGGGAAAAGTTTAGGATTTATTAGGCTGGATTACAGACTGTAGACTAGATTACAGAAACCAGCGAAGAACAGCACTTCACAGTTTATAAACAGGCAGGGGCCCTCTGTCTACACTTTGCTTCCTGTAGCAGCTGCATGGGGCTGAGGTGGCCTTGGGGATGCTGAAATGCCTAGGTCCAGAGAGGTCTGGTTACTGTCCAGGCTGCTGGCAGCAAGGAGTAGAGAGTGAGAGGCAGGCTTGCACTGCCATCCTGTGACTCAGGGTACATGAAGACAGAACCCAGAAGGGCCTTCAGTGTCTGGGCCTAGGGAATGAGGGGGCCGTGAGTAGTCTTTGGGCTCCTCAGCTTTTCTGTCTGCTGTGTGAGTCCGTCCATCTGCGTTGAGATTTCCGTGAGACCCTGCTCCTTCCCCATGCGTGACTCCTAGACTCTGTAGCCATTGCTACTCAGAACCATGTTTATGAGTTCGTATGCATTTGTCTCAGATCCCAGAAGTGGTGGGTGTGGACTTTGCGATTCCTGCTCAGCCTTGCTTGTTTTCCCCTTCAAATATTCCTATTAGTGTGGCTGATATCCTGAGCATGCAGGACCTAGTGCCAGGAGGTGCATCTCCTTCCCTGACCCACGTCTGCCTGTGGGGACGGAGCCCTTGGCACGAGCCAGTGGAGCCTTTTTCATCCTTCGAATCCAGAGGGGCATGGAGGCCACACTGGGTACTGTTGCACCCTGGGTTTTGTAGGGTGGTTCAGACCGTCCCCTTGGCTTCATTCCCTATAAAGCCCTACCTCCTCCTCACAAAGTCGGGGTGGACCCAGAGGACAAAGGGCAGCCCAGGACTTGGCCCACCCAGACTAGCCCTTGTGACTCCTGGCTGTAAAGGCTGCTGGAGAGAAGACCAGAGCTCTGGTCCCCAGGCCTCTTTCACTATGGCTGCACACTGCTAGGCAATGAGCGAGTAAAAGCCTGGACACCTTAGGCTTCGAGAGAGCGAGGAGGCCAGGGAAGCCTCATTTCTCTCTTCTGCTTCCTGGGGGCTCTGGCCTTGGCCCCAAGGGCCTCTCCCGGCCAGTCCTGCTGGGGTAGAACGGTTGACCTTGGTGGTCCCTGTCCTGGTGTAGCTTGCTGGGACAGACATGGAAAGAAGGAAGGCAGCTATGGGGCTGGGCTGGGGTTGGGGTCCCGTGGGGCCCACTTAGCTGTGTATTTATAGACCCCACTGATCTATATTAACTCTGGGCCTGCTCAGGCTTTGGCAGCCTGGGATCTGAGGACTCCTTTGAACCCTCTGGGGGGGCTGCTGTATCTGAGCTCACCCCCTGGGGAGAGGCAAACAGGGGTGAGCCCCCTTCTCACCTTACCCTTCTGCGCCTGGGAGTTCCTGCTGGGTCCTTGGCTTGCACAGTCTTTAGCTGCTTGGGCTGGGCTGGGGCCACCCTCGGCGGGTTTGGGGGGTTGGTATCTTTGTCTGAGAATTGTCGTGCCTTGCTTCTTCCAGCTCTACAGGGAGACTGCCTATACAGCGTGGATCCAGGGCAGCCCCACAGGGCAGCTCCCAGGCCTCAGTCCTCACAGCTGTAGAATGGGCATGATTCCCAGGCAGTTTATAGGCATCAGGTGCGAAACACTCACAGCTCCTAAGCTGGAGGCCACTACGTGCATGCCTTCTACATCTCTTGCGGTCCTTGTCACGTGCTTGGAGGGACCAAAGTGTCACCTCTAGATGGGACCTACGAGGCCCTAGGGGCAAGCATGACTTGAATTCAGACTCACCTAAGTCTGAATGTTCTCTCTCCCCAGGAGCCTCTCCAGGGCCCATGGGGTCCTTGGTGTGTGTGTGTGTGGGGGGTGACTGAACTCCTCCCCCAACGGCGTGGTCCAGTCCCTGGTTGCCATGGAAACAGCTCCACTAACTTTATGCTTCTCTTCCAGAGCAGAGACGACTGGCCGCCCTGAGTGCAATTCAATTCAACAGACATTTACTGAGTGCCTACTATGCGCCAGGCCTTAGGCTAGGCACTGGGGAGCACAGAGAGGAAAGTGTGGGTCCCATTCTCAGATAGTTCGGGTACCAAGAGAGAAGCCCCGTGGAGGGTTGAGCAGCAGAACCTGGGGTTCGAGTGCACCATGGGAGGGCTACTGTCTGTCTATGCTTCAATTTCCCCACCGGTAACATGGGAGGGCAAAGTGGGGTGAGGCTTTTCCAGGAATCCATGGGCCACTCATTGGGGGTGGGGTAGAACAGGGAGGCCATCCTTCTCCTGCAGGCTCCTCAGAGAAGGGGCAAAGTTCTGGCCCCAGGGTGTGTATGTGGGTGGGGGGAACAGCTCCCCAGGCTCAGGAACACCATGGACAAAGACCTGGAGGACATGGGGGGCTAGCAAAAGACACAGCAGGGTGTGAGCTCAGAGAAGGTGAGGTTTGAGGGTGTGAGCTCTGTGTGGGGGCAGTGGCAGTCTTGCCAGGATGTTGAGGGAGTCAGGGATGCATCTTGCTTGGCCTCACCCCTCTCCTCCTCCTGTCCTTGGAACTCCTCTAGAACCAGCAGCCATGTAGTTAGTGTGGCATCTCTGCTGTGCTGGGCACATCTCTGTTAGTCTTTACTACTGCCCCGGAGGTGGGTATTCATGGGCCCAGCTCCCAAGCTAGCACACTGGGCCCAGAGGGGGAAGCTTCTCGTCCAAGGTCTGATCTGACCCCCACCTGCCTATGCTCCTACCACTACTTCTCGTTGAAGGGGTCTGCGCTGTGTGACTTCTCCTGTCCTGTCTATATCAACGTCCCAAGGTATTCCCAAGAGCCATGGCAGGAAGACACCCAGAAGCCTCTAGTTAGACTGTGGGCTTGGCAGCCATCCTTAGAGACCAGCCTAGTAGAGGTGGCTCCTTCCCTGCTTCACGAGTGAGTACCCTGAGGCTTGGATCCAAGGTTAGATGCAGGGAGGGACAGCCCGTGCTGAGATCCTGTCTCTTTAGTGGCAGCTGAGGCTTTGGAGATGCTGACGCTGCCCCACTTCTGACTGTGGAGGAGCTGCTCCCAAACAGCCTCATCAGGGAGGGAGAAGGACTCAGACCTCGGATCTGGGTTCAAGTCCTGGTGTTGCCTGGCATGACTGTGTGATGGTAGGAGACCATTAGCCACTCTGAGCCTCGGTTTCTTTGTTTCGGGGAGGGCTGGCTTTCCTATCCACTTAGCAGTGGGAGATATTTATTGAGCATCTACTGAGGCCTGGTGTTGGCTGGGTTGGTGGGGAGGCTCAGACTTGGGCCTTCCTTGGAGAACTGAGTCTAAGGGGAAAAGCCAGTGGCGGTTAGGATCCTAGTAGAACTGGAGAAGGACAAAGCCCAGGGGCTATAGGGACCTACAAGGGGCACCCCAACCAGGTGAGGAAAGCAGTTTCCGGGCTCCCAAGGAACCACGGGGGCTGGGCTGTAGGTGTGCTGGAATTTCCCCAGATCATCCAGGAGCTTGGGAAGCCTTTCTGTTAGGGGAAGCCATGCTCAGATTTATGTTCTAGCAAGTTCTTCCTCTGCCAGATGGAGGATAGCTGTAATAGGTTGCTAATCCTGAAGACAGATCAGAGAGGATGCTGAAGGAGCAGAACTCAGCAGGCCCAGTGGAGCTGGTGGGCACACATTTCCCTAGGGTGGGAAGCTGGAGAGAAGCCAGACAGGGTGTGAGGGGGGAAGAGGGTCCTTCTAGGTGGCAGGGAGGAGACAGGCAGCTGGGACAGGGCTGGGGGGGGGGGTTAGGTGATGGTGGGCAGCACAAAGCCATCTATAGGAACCACGGAGAGGACCAAGATGTGCTCTGGGACTGCAAGTAGGCTTGAGAGCACCCAAGAGCTGGCATGGGACCCCAGGAAGGGTTCTGAGGAATAGGGGCACAGGGAAAGGCAGCCATGCGGGTCCTCAGGCTGGGATGGCTGTGTTTCCCCAGAGGGAGGCATAATGGATGCCAAGTCATGGGTGGCAGGAGAGCCGGGAGGTGCAGGGAAGGCAGAACCCTTGCTCACAGCCCTAGGAAGGGGAAGCTGCGGTGAAGGGAAGGTGTTTGGGAGTGGAGTAAAATATTTGCATGCGTAACAGGGCTGGGCGAGGAGAGGAAATTACCATACATCAGGATCTTGTTATTCAACCTAATTTTCAAAGGGGCACAGCTGTCGCGCTGAGATAATCCGTTAATTATAACAGCCATTGTGCTCTGGCAATGGGAGAGAAACCGAGGCTGGGTACAGGCTGAGGCTGGGGTGGGAAATGGCCTTTGAGGGTCCAGGGAGAGAGGCAGAGAGGGGTACTGGGCTCTCAGCACCAGAGGAAAGAGCAGGGCAGGGACCAGGCCGCAGCCTCTGCACAGCCACTGCCAGCATGGAGGTGATAAGGTCAACTTGCCAGCTGGCACTGTGCTCCTGGAGCCAGTTGCTGGAACCTTCCAGAGCAGTTAACTTTATTGAGCAGTTACTATGTGCCAGACCCTGCTCCCCCTAGCTGTTACCTATAGCCAGAGCCCTTCTGGTCTCTCTCTCTCTCTTTTTTCCAGCAGAGGAAACACACAGGAAGGTAGTTTGCCAGGACCAGTGGGTGAGATAGATGTCAGGGCCCCATGTGATCTGAGTACAACCCTCAACTTCCAGGACAGCCAGGAAGACAGGACCCACTGAGTGGGGTAGACACAGGAGCCTCCATGGTTTTAGGCATCACCGCGGTCACGGGTGGCCCTCCCCCAGTGGTGTTTCCGGGGGCCCTGGGTGCGGACAGAGCCTCCTTGTTCTCTGGGCTGCAGCTGCAGGCCCCCTGCGGCCTCCAAGGCAGCCTTCAGTCTGGCCCCCAGCCCCCAGAACAACTGCCCTCAGGGCCAGGAGAGGGCGTTTCACGTGATCTTGGGTGGCCCCCATGCTGTTGTTTGCGACCACCTGCTTGGAGGTAGGAAGGATCCAGACAGCTGGCTCAGCCCTGGGAGGAATCCTCAGCCCAGCCTTGGTGGGGAGGTGTGTATCAGGGACCTTGGGTGCTGGGGCCTGGGAGAGGCAGGTGAGAGGCAGTGAGTCATGGCATAGTATCCTGAAGTCTGGCTGCTCAGGACCCCGCATACATTTGGTTCAAACTTGGTTCAGGAGTCAGCCTTGGGCTTGATGTCCATGCAACCTTGACTAGGAACTCAGCAGAGGCCAGGGGGCAGGAAAGAGGGCTTATTCCGGAAAGTCAGCTGGAACTCCCAGTGTGACCCAAAGATCTAGGTAGCATTGTTGGAGGGCAGGAAAGAAGTTGGGGGTGTACGGAGGGGCAGCAGGTATGGGAAACTCTGAGGATTCCCCAGCTGAAAGCCAAGGGGAGGCCCAGGGAGGCTGGGGCAGTTGAAAGTCCTGGAGAATGGACGACTCATAGCCCAGACCTAAAAGCTGCAGACTGGTGGGACCAAAGAGCCACAACCCTAGACTCATCATTGGAGACTCCCAACCTGACAGACCCATGCTGCTAACGTCCTAGAGTTCTGAGACCCAGAATCACTGGGGGTAGGGACGGAGGCAAGGGTTGAGTATGTGGGCCAGGAGCAGTCTGCCTGTGGGTCCCCATGCAAGCTGGCGTGACTGCCCCCACTTTTGAGAGTCCCTGACTTGCTTGCCTTGTAAATTTCAGTGCCCAGGTAGGGGTCAGGGTGATAGTCAGGGAGGATAGTACCACTGCTACCCCATCTGTCTGTGGGTGCTCCTGGGTTCCAGAAACAGGAATGCTTTAAAGATAAAAGCCTCCCAAGCTTTCCACATTGCCAGCCAGCTAAAAACAAAATTTAATTACTGTCCAGATGAAGCAGGGCCCCTTGGCATTGCATGAGTCAGAGCCTGGGGCCGAGGAGGAGAAAGCCACCGCATAGCAGCTGGAGGCCTAGTCTCTGCCTCTGTATAGTGGTGGTTGGAACAGCGCAGGCCCAGAGGCTGCTTCCCAGGAAGCTCCCAGGCCCAACCGATGCCTTTTCTGCCCCTGTATTCCCCTGACAGGCCAGGCTGCTCCAGTGGGCTGTATGCTCCGACCTGGAGCCTCCGCCTCTCCCCAGAGGTCCCCTGCTACAGTGCCCTACCTTGGGACAAGCCTAAGGATACTGGAAGGCAGGAAAATGCCCACCCTTGGGACCCTGGAGGAGGAGCAGGCTGTGCAGGCAGAACCGAGAGGGTGGGCCTAGCCGGTGCCTGGTACATAGTAGGTGTTCCATAAATGTTTATTGAATGAATGAATGGAGGCCATGCAGGCAGAGGCAGCGTGCGCGCGCAGGCACTGTGCAAGAGCGGGTCCAGTGGAGACCGGTGAGTAGCGCCCAGGGACTGCCGCTGAGCCAAGTGGGGGAGGAGAGCCAGGCAGGAGAGGGCAGGGGCAGCAGGGATGGAGAGGTCAGGAATGATAGGAGGAAGAGACCAGGTGGGGAGAGAGGAAAGGCTGGTGGGGAAGGGATGAGTAGAGAAGGGGGGAGGAGAGGCTAGGTGGGGAGAGGGTAGCGTACAGTGGTGGGGGGTAGAGTCAGTCCCAGAAGTGGGTCCAGGGGAGGAGAGATATTACGAGGAGGGGGGAAAACAAAGACAGTTCCTTGAGTAGGGGGGTTCTGTAAGAGTCAGTGCTAGGATGGACTTCCCTTCAGAGCTTCCTTGAGGTGGGCACCTAAGGGCCCTTGGGCCCGGCGTCTTAAGTTGGTTGAGGCTCAGGTGGGAAGGAGCTGGGCCAGGCCAGGTATTACAGAACCGCTTACAACCCAGGGATGGGCCTCGCTGGCAGGCTGTGGGCAGCAGCAATGACCAAGGCCTTATAGAGGTCCTTGACTTCCTGCGTGGAGGATTAGTTGTGGTTTGTGCTGGGGTGCCTTGGGGACAGAGATGTAGAAGACCTATGAGCTCGGGGGGTGACAGTGGCAGAGCCCAAGAGACCCATGCACACTGCTGTTCTCTGAGTTCAACAGGAACTGAGGCCCAGAGACGAAAGGCCCTGGACTGCAGGCTTTGCCTGAGGACCCCACCCACCGGGCCTCATGGCCTCATTGCCAAGACTCTTCTATGCCAGCTCCGATTATGGCAACTCCTTCTTGGTTATGTCTCTGGCCAAGAGCTCCATATTCCGAATGTATGTGGGTCTTTCTAGGCTCTGGAGGCCCACCAAAGCTCAGAGATGGCAAGTGTGTCTACCGTGGCAGGACAGGTACCAGAAGAACCCCTGCAGGGTGTTGGAGACATGGTGCCTGACTGTGGCTGCAGTGCTCCCGGTGGCATGGCACAAGCCATGACTGCTCCCAGCATGGGGTAACGCGGAGTGGGTGCTGAGGCCAGCTCCCTGGGGACTCTGAGCAGCTGGCATGTGGGCTGAGATTAATGAGACGTGATTGAACGGGGTAGATGAAACCCAGCACCTCGGGTGGGATGGAGATGGAATGGCCCCCAGCTGTCCTGGATGATCTGAGGGTGTCCGGCAATGAACACACGGGGCCCGGGGCCCTGGGTGACATCTAGGACAAAGTGAGGACGACACTGACGCATGCAGGCAGGCATAAGAAGCAAAGCATGGTAGATGCGGTGGCTCAGATGACACTGGCCTTGATGCTGGGTTCCAGGTAGCCCAGCTATAGGAGTGACCTGGAGTGGCTGAACCTAGGGCAGGAAAGAGCTGGCACCCTGGTTCAGGGAGAGATGGAGAGAACACAGCGACAGGCACCGACTGAGAGTCCTGTGGTGGACACAGGCACTCAGGCAGGCCTAGGTTCCTGGCTGTGTGACCTTGGACAGAGTGCTACACCTCTCTGAGCCTCTGTCTCTTTGTCTGAAATGGGAAGTGTAAGGAGTTATAAGGCCAGGAGGCTCAGGGCATTTCCTGACACATGGTGAGCCTACTGGTGGTGAGCTCTGACCTCTGACACCCTGGCCCCTCTTCCTGCTGCTACTCCCCATCTCTCCTGCACATGGCAACCCCAGCACCTGGTGTGTCCGAGCCTGCAGCAAGCTTGGGGGTTACACCAGTGAGAAAGACAGAGCCCGGCTGTGCTGTGCTGGTGGTGGGGGAGGGAGGGGGGGAGAGTCAGATGTCATGGGTGAGTACAGCAAGGGGGCAAAAGCTAGGCTGGGCAACAAGGGGGGTTCTCTCAGGTTTCGGGACAAAGCAGGGGTGAGGGTAGGGAGCAGTTCAGGAGAGATCTAAGGTAAGGCAGAGGGGCTGTGGCATGCTGAGGAAGTAGGTACCAGGTAGACTCACGTGCAAAGGTTCTGAGGTTGAGACACACAGTGGTCTTAACTAAGGACTTCTTGATTGACAGATAAGTTAGCCTCCCGGGGGTTGGGGAGTTGGGGACAGCTCCTTCTCTTAGGTGGAGGTAAATGGGGGTCAGGAAACCCACAAGATGGTCAGTGTGTGTCCGTCCCACTGCCCTGAGAATAGCCTTCCAGTCTTGTTAGCGGAGGCATCCGTCATACAGGGTTGAGGTGAAAAGACTGGAGCCCAGAGAGGGAATGAGCCTGCCTATGTCATATAGCTCCGTGTTGACCCCAGAAGCTCTTATTTCCAGTGCCTGCACACTTCCGTCTCCCTTGGGGCAGACACGTCACCCTTGAAACCCAGGTAACTTACCAGGTAGTTCAGTGGTGATAGCACAATGTCCCACGCTATAGAGGAGGAGCAAAGACCTGGGGCAGTTTGCCCTAGAAGACCTGGATGATGAAGGCAGCAGCAAGCCCTAGGGTCCGATCCTGAGGTCCGAGCCTTGGCCCCAGAAAGTAGCCAGGTTTGTTCCTGAAGGCGGAAGCATGGGTAGTGGCCTGGTGGCCCAGTGCTAGCTTCTAGAAAGGAATGGTGGTGAGCGCTGGGAGCTCTGGCTGGCCTAAGGCATCCCTGTCTTCCTCATCCAGAGTACCAGCATGGTCTTGAGTGGTTATTACGATGGCGTTGGGGGAGGCTGGGCCAGCCTGGCCCTGAGAGGAATCTGCCAGGTCTGAACTGCTACAAGTGATGTATCCCCACTGATTTTCTCATCTCTCATGGGTGGCCAGGACACGAACCACACGTTCCCATGTCCTGTCCTTGTCCCTTGAGCCGAGCGGTGTCCTCATGGGGGTGGAAGCCTGGGTTGGCACGGCTGAGGTGACTCTTCACTGACACGACAGGTATGCCCCTCTGTGTCTGGAGGGTCTTGGAAACCTGGGCACTCATCATTTTGCCACATAAGAAACTGAGCTCAGAGAAGGCTGAGGTTCCCCAAGAGTCTCAGGGTGGGCCATTCCCATCCAGACCACCACAGGCTGATGCCATAGAAGTCACATCAGCTGTACTGCTAGGCCTGGGTTGCCCCAGCCATGCCTGTGGGGTGCTTCCATTCAGCTTCTTGTGTGAGAGAACCAGGGTTCAGGCCAATGCCTGCACTACAGGGAGTGAGGACTTGCCAAGAAGAGGATCCCACTGGGGCCTTGGGCTTGACATCCTGGGTCCTGAATCCATGTAGGACTCGGACCGTGTTCCCTCTTTCGTCCTGGCCCAGTTTCCCTCACGGGAAGCCTGGAACCCAGCTGAGCCCAGGCTCATCGTTTCAGTTTGGAGATACCAGGATTCTGAGTCCTTGAAGGTCAGGGCATAACCCCAGCTGGGCCAACCTGGCCACTGAAGCTAAGCCTGAGACAGAAGAGCACTGCCTAGGTGACTCAGACGGTCACCAGCTCTGAGCTACCCCCTCTACTCCCCAGTAGCCGGTGCCCACTGGTGTTGCTGGCTGTTCTCCTTCCTTTCCATCCAAGGATTCATGGGAAGGGACATCATCCAGCCTGAAGTCGGCTGGATGGCTCTTTGCCAATGCTGCACGGATTGGTGTGGTCTTGCTTGTGTTGCTGCATGGCTCCCGAGGGACTCGGCACTGTCATGATCTTAGGCTCTGGGCAGCTGCCCTTCCCTCTGACTTGCTCTAAGATGTGTTTCGGGGCTTAGCTGAGTCCAGTCTCAAGTGTCCCCTTGAGTCTTGGGGGTAGGCAGCGGGTACCTGTGCCACACTGTCATGCCCAGACTCATCCCCCTCGCCCTGTGGCCAGTCCTCTGTGGAGGGCTCTCCATTTGTCTCCCTGCTCACCATTGCTGTGGTTTTCTCTCTCCTTCCTCCCAGGTGTGTCTGTGTGTTTGAGGAGCACCCTCATGGGGAGCAGGGGAGGATGCTCTTGCCTGTCTGACCCCTGAGACCCCACCCCCACCCCTTGCACACCTGCACCTTGATTGGGTGAACGACTGGGCGGGGAGCCAGGTGCTGCTGTCAGCATCTTTGTGGCCTTGTCCTATCCCTGCCAGTACGAGGCCTCAACGGGTGGTGGGCAGACAGCCCAGCATGAGGACAGGGCAACTAACACACACGGGACACAGTGATGGGAACCTCATCCCCACTGTGCGTCACAGGGAGAGTAGGAGCCGGGCCTCAGCCCAAGCCATCCCTGGAGAAGGGAAGCAGGAGAGGGCCACTGCAGGGTCACCTTGTGGGTTTTGGGGAACCATGAGCCTTCTGCCTACCCTGGCCTGTCTTGGAAGGGCAGGGCCGAGTGAGGCCAGCACCTCTCTGAACCAGGGCCCCCTTAAACCTATTCCTTCGGCCTCTTCCTACCCCCTACTTGCTGGTATCTTGCACAGCTCTAGCCAGCCTGGTCTTGGCTAAGGTGATATTGGTTTAGTTCAGATCTAAGCAGGGGGAGGGACTCTTTGTGTGGCTGGTTTTGTATGAGCAATACACATGTGCTTAAATGGCATTGAGGGGGTGGATAATTGCTTGCCTTACCAAGGCCCCAGACATGCATGCCTGCCACTCCTCCACACACCAGCATGGGTCCCTTTGGCTGATCATAGCTGCACATGTCCTGTGTGTGTGTGCACAAAGAACACACACACACACACAAACACACACACTCATGCTTATGTGCCTGCCTGCATGCTGTCTCGGTGCATATATATCAGCACCCTGTGTCTGCGTACTGAGTCAGCCATACACCTGTGTGTGCACCTGCATGCCAATGTGGTTCCTAGACCAAGGAGGACCTGCGTTACAGACTGAGGGCTCTCAGACAGACTGGTTCCTGCTTCTCAAGATGGCAAGTGGAAGGACTTTACCCCCTCTGGGACAATCTGTCTGCTGGTGGGAGGGGAAACTGAGGCCCTGTGTCACAGGAGCCAAACTCTGCAGCTACGACAGTTTTGTGTGGTACGGGTGAGGACAGATGAGCTGTTGGCTGCCTGGGCAGCCTTGTGACACCCACGCTGGCCCTGCAGTGGGGAGGGAGAAAGGTGTGTCAGACTGGCCTCTGACCCAGGTTGAAACCTCAGCGCGCACTGCCGGAGCGTCCTCTCAATGTGTCCCCACCGCCTCCCTCCCTCTTTCCCTCTGCTGGTCACAGTTTTAAATTGGCTTCACTTTAACACAAAGTCTAGACATTTTTTTTTTCAAAGCTCTTTCCTGGAGTCTCCCTGGGGGAGGAGCCGAGGTGGAGGTGGCTCTGTGGACACTATTTCAAGGCTTTCTTTGACAAATGTGCATTTCTCGGACCATCTTGTGTCCTTGTTGGAACACAACTGTCTAGGGCCTCTGCAGTTTCTGGAGTCTGGAGCACAGGGTGTGAGCCCGAGCCAGGTCTGGCCGAGTCCAGCTTGCAGGGGACCTAGCCAGATCTCCCCAGGGCAGACTTTGGGACTTGGTTTCCTCGTGGGAAAGGGAAGGATGAATCAGATGGGCTGTGGGCTGTGACCCCTGCTGTTGTCCTGTCCTCTGTGGCTCAGGGTGAGCAGTCAAGTCACCATGCTGCTTCCCATCAAATTACCCAGGAAAGGGCTGGGTTCCCCCACACTGTACAGAAGAGCAGTAGCTAAGAGACAGAGTGATTTACCCACAGTCAGGCTGTGCAGGGAGGGCCTCTTGACTCCTGACCCTGAGTGTCTCAGGAGCCTTGATCCTGGCCCAGGCTTTGCTGTGTTACTTGGGACAAAGCCCTGTCCTTCTCTGAGTCTCTGATTCTGGAAGGGGATGTAGGGATCCAATCGTATTGGTCCCAAGTCCTGACCCCCCCTTTGGGCGGCATGCTGTCCTTGGGAGTACCCGACTAGGTAATGTGTCTAACTCTTGACCCGTCTCCTTTAGCTTAGTTATGCTAACAGGACCAGCCCTCCTGCTGCCAGATCCTGGCCCTTGCACCCCACCACACGGGAGGCCCACCACCAGCACATTCTGCTCCCCTCCCCCACGGAAGCTGAGACAAGGGAATTATTTTTGGAACAAGAGCAGTTACACAACAAATGAATTATTTATCTTTGGGCTTGGAGAATGAGGCATTTTGCTGGGCTTCTTAATTCTCATCTGGATTTGGGGGTGCCCACTAAGATGTGTGGACATGCCTGTCATGCACACAGATGTTAGGGGTGTATGTGTGTGTGTGCGTGCCTCCCATGTGAGCTTTGATTTTGTAGGTGTTGTGCAGGCCAGCAGTTGCCTGTGGACACCGTGTGCTGGGTGTGCCCTGGAGGGGGTCAAGGCACTCGGGCCCACCCGTTCCTCTCAGTTTCCCTTCTCTGTCTTGGTGCTCAGACTATCCCCATCCCTACTGTAACTCTTCCTTGATTCTCTCTTCCCTGCCTTGACAACCCCAGCCCTCCCTTGCTTTGAGGAAGCAGGGAACCTGGGGCACTTGCTGGTGCGGAGTCCCTGGTTCTGAAGGAGGATAAAAGAGGGATGGGAGCCTACACTGATCTGAACAAGAGAGGTTGGGCCCCCACACTGACCTGCCATTCTCTCTTGATGCCACCTTTCAGGAATTAGGTGACAGATGGGCTTCTTCCTCCCTGTCTCCACCTCGCTCACCGTCCCCCAGTGTTGCACTTCTGGCTCCTATGGGAACTGCCTGAAGTTCTGACCCCTGAACCCAAAGAGAAGGAGGAGGAAGAGCAAGAAGAAGTCAAAGCCTGGGAACCTGCACTTCTGACAGTGACCTAGAGCCACAAAGCAACGCCTAGTGCCTGCTTGTAGCCCTTCACAACAGCAGGAGCCAGCTGTGTCCACCCTGCCCAGGGCTCCTGTGCTGGAGGTCACCCCCAAGATGGTGGCGGCTCCAGGGAGGACTGTGCTACCGGTCCCGTCCTCTAGCCGCTAGGTCCTTCTGTTCTCTGGCCCTTCACCCCAGCTGGGTCTATAAGGGGCTGAAGCGTGGGCCATGCTGCGCCTGGGGCTGTGTGCAGCGGCGCTGCTGTGCGTGTGCCAGCCGGGTGCTGTGCATGCTGACTGCTGGCTCATCGAGGGGGACAAGGGCTACGTGTGGCTGGCCATCTGCAGCCAGAACCAGCCGCCATATGAGACCATCCCCCAGCACATCAACAGCACTGTGCACGACCTGCGGCTCAACGAGAACAAGCTCAAGGCTGTGCTCTACTCCTCACTCAATCGCTTTGGGAACCTCACGGACCTCAACCTCACCAAGAATGAGATCTCCTACATTGAGGACGGTGCCTTCTTGGGCCAGACGAGCCTGCAGGTCCTTCAGCTGGGCTACAACCGGCTCAGCAACCTGACTGAGGGCATGCTGCGTGGCATGAGCCGCCTGCAGTTCCTCTTTGTCCAGCACAACCTCATCGAGGTGGTGACGCCCACCGCCTTCTCCGAGTGCCCCAGCCTCATTAGCATCGATCTGTCCTCCAACCGCCTCAGCCGTCTTGATGGCGCCACCTTTGCCAGCCTTGCCAGCCTGATGGTGTGTGAGCTGGCCGGCAACCCCTTCAACTGTGAGTGTGACCTCTTCGGCTTCCTCGCCTGGCTTGTGGTCTTCAACAATGTCACCAAGAACTATGACCGCCTGCAGTGTGAGTCACCGAGGGAGTTTGCTGGTTACCCATTGCTTGTGCCCCGACCTTACCATAGCCTCAATGCCATAACTGTCCTGCAGGCCAAGTGCCGCAATGGCTCCCTGTTTGCCCGGCCTGTGAGTCACCCCACGCCCTACTCTACGGATGCCCAGAGGGAGCCCGATGAGAATTCAGGCTTCAATCCTGATGAGATTCTCTCAGTGGAGCCGCCGGCCTCGTCTACCACAGATGCATCTGCTGGACCTGCCATCAAACTGCACCAAGTCACCTTCACCTCAGCCACCCTGGTTGTCATCATCCCGCATCCTTACAGCAAGATGTACGTGCTGGTCCAGTACAACAACAGCTACTTCTCTGATGTCATGACGCTCAAGAACAAGAAAGAGATTGTGACGCTGGACAAGCTGCGGGCGCACACTGAGTACACCTTCTGCGTCACCTCGCTGCGTAACAGCCGCCGCTTCAACCACACCTGTCTGACCTTCACCACGCGGGACCCCGTGCCTGGGGACCTGGCCCCCAGCACCTCTACCACCACGCATTACATCATGACGATCCTGGGCTGCCTCTTCGGCATGGTCATCGTGCTGGGGGCAGTCTACTACTGCCTGCGCAAGCGACGCATGCAGGAGGAGAAGCAGAAGTCTGTCAATGTCAAGAAGACTATCTTGGAGATGCGCTATGGTGCCGATGTGGATGCCGGCTCCATTGTGCATGCGGCCCAGAAGCTGGGTGAGCCGCCCGTGCTGCCTGTGGCCCGCATGTCCTCTATTCCCTCCATAATCGGGGAGAAGCTGCCCACTTCCAAAGGGCTGGAGGCCGGGCTAGAAACGCCCAAGGTAGCTACCAAAGGCAACTATATTGAGGTGCGCACGGGTACTGCAGGGGACAGCCTGGCCCGGCCTGAGGAAGATCTCCCAGACATTGAAAATGGCCAGGGCTCAGCGGCTGAGATCTCCACCATTGCCAAGGAAGTGGACAAGGTCAACCAGATCATTAACAATTGTATCGATGCCCTCAAGCTTGACTCAGCCTCTTTCCTAGGGGGTGGCAGTGGTGGTGGGGACTCTGATCTGGCTTTCGAGTGCCAGTCCCTCCCTGCAGCTACTGCTGCCCCCTCAGCTGCCACCCCTGGGGCTCTAGAGCGGCCCAGCTTCCTGTCACCCCCTTACAAGGAGAGTTCCCACCACCCGCTGCAGCGCCAGCTGAGCGCTGATGCCGCCGTGTCCCGCAAGACCTGCAGCGTGTCATCCAGTGGCTCCATCAAGAGTGCCAAGGTCTTTAGCCTGGACGTGCCGGACCATCCAAGTACCCCTGGGCTGACTAAGGCCGACTCCAAGTACATAGAAAAAGGCAGCCCACTCAACAGCCCGCTGGACCGGCTTCCACTGGTGCCCACGAGCAGCAGTGGTAGCAGTGGTGGGGGTGGTGGCATTCACCACCTGGAGGTAAAGCCGGCCTACCACTGCAGCGAGCACCGGCACAGCTTTCCTGCTCTCTACTACGAGGAGGGCAATGACAGCCTGAGCCAGCGCGTATCCTTCCTCAAGCCACTGACCCGTTCCAAGCGTGACTCCACCTATTCTCAGCTCTCCCCCAGACATTACTACTCAGGGTATTCCTCCAGCCCTGAGTATTCGTCTGAGAGCACACATAAGATCTGGGAGCGCTTCCGGCCCTACAAGAAGCACCACCGTGAGGAGGTGTACATGGCTGCTGGCCATGCCCTGCGCAAGAAGGTCCAGTTCGCCAAGGATGAGGACCTGCATGACATCCTTGATTACTGGAAGGGGGTCTCAGCCCAGCAGAAGCTGTGACCCTCTCCTCCCCCACCGGTGAGGTGAGGGGGAGGGCAGGGGCACTCGGGGGATGGGCCCCGCCAGGGTGGCCGGGAGGCGGGGGACAGGCCAAAGGGTCCGGACCAAGGGGCCCGGGCCTAGGAGTGGACGAACACGCACACCCGCACGCACGCACACACATACATACACTTGACCACCACCTGACTGTGAAGCAACACCCAACAATAACGGGCAGGAAAACAAATATTTTCCTTAAAGTTTACAACCTGCTACCGAAACCAGTTGTCTCTACTGTGCTGCCCAAGGGACTCATGGGGCTGGGGAAAGAGACCAGAGAAGGTGTGGGGTCTGGGACTCAGGCGGGTTTGATGGAAAAAGAGATTGGGGTAGAAGCAAACCATAGCTAGCCCTCTTGTTCAGGGAGGGTATCCTCCAAGCTGGGGAACATTTCCCTTGAAGATCTGGCAGCATGTGGATTTTGGGCATCCTCTCCTCCCACTTTATGGATGGCCCAGAGAGGAAAAGCCCCAGGGGTCTCACCCACCAGGTTACAGCTTTGTCTCACAGCTTCCTGGCCCAGTGCTGGCCCCTCCTCCAGCTGCTCCTCTGGGCCCTGCCCCCTCCACCAACTACTCCTTCCAAAGCTGTGGTCTCAGGGGGTCTAGGGACTGAGGTAGGCAGGTGCTTTTCTTCTCTATAAAGTTCATGGGCACCCACAAAGTGAAAGACTGTGGTCCCTAGCCCTAGATGGTCAGGGGAGAGGAATGTCCTGCTGACCAGAGAGAAGCCGAGGCAAAGGGTGCCACCAAACCCCTTCACGTGTCTTCCAAGTAGCCCCAGGGAGCTGCCTGGGGTTGGGGTGGTGGGCCGACCTGCTCCCCACTGGTATCTCAGGTGCAGGCCCCCATGCCACAGCCCCTTAGTTTTTCTGGGTCTCCCAGACCCCTACCCACTACAGAGAGGCAACAGTGAATGGCAAGGCCTGGGGCCAGTGTGGAGGTGATCTGGAATGTGGGGATTCCTCCCTGCACCCTGTACCTTCACTTGCTTGGCCCCTGCTGTGTGCAGCATCTTGGCCTGCCTAGGAAGGCATCTGCCTCCACCCCACCCTGTCTCACCCCCTGGCTAGAGGGGCTCCCATGTTTCCATGGCAATGACCACAGTCCTTCTTCTGACCCACTCCCAACACCAATCAAAGCACAAACAGTGAGGTGCCCCCTACGGCCCTGGTCAGGGAGCAGGCCAGGTTCCTGGCCCCTCCCCTTTCCTAGCTAGTCTGTTGCCACGGCAACCCAGTGCCTGGCAGTTGGTGCCCAGAGGGACTAACTGACCAACCGTTGGGCTCTGAAGTTCTCTCAGTGTGGATGGTAGCAGAGGGTGGTTAAGGAGGCCTGGCCAGGTGGCAGCTCGCTCAAGAGCCAGCAGCTTCTAGAGATAAACTCTGGAGTTTCTTCTGGAGACCTGAGGCTAGCCTATGGCACCGCCTTTGCCTTTGAATAGGCAGTGGGCCTATGGAGGATGGGGATAGTCGCACTAGGCAGTTCTACCCCCTGCCCGTGTGCCTTTTGGCTTGCCATTGAGATAGGGAGGAACCTCCTTGGCTCTACCCGAACCCTTCCAAAGACCCTCACTCCTGTCACTCTTTTGGGTTTCTTGAGATGGAGAGTGTGACTGTGGAGTGGGGGGGGGGGGGGAATGGGGGTGGCATCTCATTTGACCAGTGAGGACTCTGACCAGGAAAGCTAGGGCTATCCTTGGGGGTGGGGTACAGGGAAGGACTGGGGTGGGAGACTTGACTGAACGCCTCTATTACATCGACTTTGGGGTGGGCCGAGCCCAGGGCTCACTCAGGGGTGACATTTGCAAAAAAGAAAGAAAAAAAAAAGAAAAAAAAACTGTTCTCCTGGGGAGAGGAGGAGATTGGCCAGCCTGGGTGTGAAGAGCAGCGCTCCCCCAGCCACAAACCTGTCCTCACCCCACCCTACACCCACCACCCCAAGAAGAGCAGGCAGGCCGAGAGGCCAGGGGTATGAGCGAGCAGACCCCTGTTATCTTTGCATGACGATTTTACTGTATTTTTCTGAGCAAACATCTGTCGTGTGTGCCAGTTTGTCCAGACTCCCCTCCCCACCCTTACTGCCCTCCATGTGATCCGAGCAGCTCTTGAAATCCAGGGAGGGCCAGCTCTGCAGAAGACCCAAAACAGGTGCCACCAACTTAGCCCTGCCTTCCCACCCCCCCTCCCCACCCCGTCCCGTATCCTTCTCCCATCTTTCTGGGCGTTGGGCCCACAAGTGCTGCCTGCCTTCCTCCATCACCACCCCTTCCCTTCTCTGTCCCACTCCGTCTCTGTTGGTCCTTTTCCTCCCTCTCCACCAGGGAAGGCAGTCTTGGAAGAGTGTCCCCAAGGCCACGTTCTTGCGGAAGGGGCTACAGGATTCTTGTCCACCTGTTCCCATTTGGAGATGAAGCTGGGGCCCTCTATAAAAAGGCACCTTATCCGGCAGCTCAGCCAGCCACACAGGATGGGGAACTATCAGCCATACTGAATATAGGAGGTCAAGAGCTTGGGGCTTCCTGGAGGGGCCCTGCAAGAGGGGAATGGGCCTTGTCATGCCCAGGGAGGGTCCCCACCGAGGATTGGGCTCTGTTCCCACTATTCAACCATCATTCCTGGTTGAAGACAACTTATAAAACCTCAGATGCCACTCAGGAGGACCTTAAAGAGAGGGTCTATTCCAACAGTGGGGCCCAGGTCACAGGGATCTTTGAGACAGAGCAAGGGTCCAAGGCATAGGCACTTCCACCGGTCTGGCCCTCCAGCGGCCCTGGCCAGTCCTCCAGGGTAAGGCCCTTGGAGTTTCCCTCTGGAACAAAAGACAAATACATACTTTCTCCCTGGGTCCAAGTGAAGCCCCTGGCTTTGTAGTTCTAGGGGCACAGGGAGGGGAAACACAGGGGGTTCACGGAGTCATCTGGAGACAGTCCTGGCAGAGAAGAACCTGTGAAGCCGCCTTTGTTAGAACATGTGGCTTCCAGAAATAAAAAGCTTAGTCTTCGCCGGATACAGGGGAGCCTGTATCAGCTTGCCACTTCCTCGGCCCTCTGACTCTCTTCCCTCTTGAGCACAGAGCAGGAAGCTTTGGGGCAGCCTATGCAGAGCGGGAGGAAAACCCTGACCACCTTAGGAGGACTTGGGCTGCGCAGAGGAGGCAGCTAGTGATGGTGGTGGTCTGGGCTGGCCCTTGGGCCTCCATGTTCATGATGAGAAGTCACCTGTGCTGACAATCCAGGAATTTTAAGGAGTTAAAGTGGGCAAAGGGAACTCCCTAGACAGGCCCAGAGGGGAACAGACAGGGACAGAAGCAACGGCCCTCTCAACCTCCCATTTCAAGAGGGGCTGAAACTGCGGGGGTGGGGGGGAGATGCAGGCTCCCCAACAGTGCTAGGCCCCTGCAGAGAATGAAGGGAGGGATGGGGGAAGGTGGGGCAGGCGGTCTCCCATCCCTCCAAGGAGATGACAGAAACAGGAGGGAGAGGTGTTGGACCTGCTGGCTGTCCCCAACCTCTTCTCTGGCCACTCTATCACTCTGCCCCAGCACATCCTGACATGGTTGGGGGCCTCTTCAGGGTGTGGGTGGGTGGGAAAAAGTGTGGGAAGTTATGGGGTGTCTAGCTACCTGTGGGGTGACCTTACCCCCTTGATGCTTTTCCCTCTTGACAAGGCTTGCTCTCTGGGACCCCCCCTCAGCCCCAGGAGAGGGTATCTTCTCCCAGTCTCCTTGCTCATGTCACACACTGACACCTTCCATGACTTTTACATCCACTTCTAAGAACCAATATCTCCCCCTACTTGCCCCAGTGCCCTCCCCCAGATGCCATCTGCTCCCTGCTGAACAGCAGGGAGACCAGAGGTTCCCACAGGGGTGTCCTCCTCCTCTTCCCTCTTCAGCCAGGCAAGCACAGGGTTGCGGTAGAGGTCTGGGCATTGATAGCCACCTCTCCTCCCTGCTTCCCACCCCCCACCCTCCTCAGGAGCTGTCAGCCCCCGGAGGCACGGTGGCCTGGCACCTGGTTTGAGCTCTGCAGAGCTGGGCTCCGGGCCCTGGACTCTGAACCTGTGACCCCTCGCTGTGTACGGAACTTGCCTCCTCCTGGGGGCCTCGGACCCTCTCCTTGTCTTCTTTTAGGGGGTAACTTCATTTATTTTTCCTCCTTCCATTTGCCTCTCCCCCCAATTTTCCTGTTTTAAACTGAATGGCACGAAATCATTTTCCTCACCTTGGAGATTCCTGTATGGAGAGAATCAATTTCTATATTTGCAATAAATTTCTTATTTAAAACAACGGGGCCGAGGTTTGCACTGACTGCATCCCCAGCGTCTCACGTCCTCTCTTCTTGGCTAACGGAACTGAGTGGGTAGTGCCATCATGGAGTGCCTAGCAGGGAACGTGGGATGGTCGTGCATTCCCACCACCCCACCCTGTCACAAGAACCTGGAAGTCACTCAGTACCGGTGACCTGGTGCCTTGTTTGTGGTTCTGGCCTCCCTCGTGCACATCCCTGGGGAGGCACACGGGCAGCAGAAGGAAAACCATCCTAGACAGTGATCACGGAGCCCCGTTTGTTCCAGGCCATGTTCCCTGCTCTTGCAAGGTGGGATTCCTAGGCTGCCTCTAGACCTGGCCTGGGCACCCATCCCTGGACCCTGGTCACCCGCTGATCACTCCTCTTCCACGTTCTTTACCGTCAGCCACTTTTCCCTAATAGCTGCGAACCATCCCTGCCTTGAAGAATCAAGGCTTCCTATGGGCTCCTGTAGTCCGGCAGAATGTGGGTTACCATGCTAGGTGGAGCCTCAGGCTTACCCTTTGGGGCCAGAGTACCCCCCACACTCAGCCCCTGCCTCCCAGAGGCTCTTCCCCTCCCTCAGGCTCTCCCTATTCCTCCAACTGCTTCAGACTCCCCCGTCTCAAGTGTGCCCCACGTCCATTTGGGCTGGATTACTGAAGACCTTTTTAAAGTGGGTTCCCAGGACTGAGCTAGTCCCTGTGAGGGCGGTTGCATGGGAATGTTGCTAGTGGCCATTGGAAGACAGTCTGCCGCCTAGAGCCAGAGGTGTCTCTCAGAGACCAGGCCTCAGGGCAGCCCCAACTCATTGCTGCAGAAGAGAATCACGGTGTGTCCACACAAAGCAGAGCCCGAGTCTACTGAGGCTGTGGGGCCTGTGGATGTGGCTCAGTTGGTAGAGTGCTTGCCTAGCACACAAGAAGCCTGGGTTCCATTCCCTAGTAGCAGGCATGACAGACAGCACATGCCTGTAATCCCAGCACTCTGTAGGTGGAGGCCTTGGCTATATGGGAAGTGCAAGGCCAGCCTGGGATAGACAAGATCTTGTAAAAGAAGAAGAAGGAGGAGGAGGTGAAGGAGGAGGAGGAGGAGGAGGAGGAGGAGGTTTTAGTATACATTTAAGCAAGGACATTGAGGGAGAAAGAGTCCAGAAAAGAATAGTACATATATTCTGGGCTTCCAACGAGAGTCCCACTTAAAAATCTTAATAACCATGAATACAGTTTTGGTGCGTTGCGGAGTTACATTGTTCAAAGGGTTTCTAAGGACCTTTCTTCTCTTAGTAAATGAGGTCCTCTGGTGGTTTCTGAGGGACAGTGTATTGGATAACAGGCTGATATGGTGAAGCCATAGGTCATAAGGGTCAAGGGAACCCTTACCATGCTAGTTCACAAGAGAAGCTGAGACTCATGCTTCATAATGTTGCTTGTGTGAGTCTCAAGCCATTCTCATGGGAGAGGAGGAAGGGAGGCTTTAGGCCTTAAGCATGGCTTGTTGCTGTTTTGTGTCATTTCGTGTATGGTTATTTGCCTGCATCTATGTCTGTGCACCACGTGCATGCCTGTTCTGGTGGTTTTATTTGGGGTATATGTGACTGGAGCATCGTCTCTTTATGGACGATCTTCACAGTAAATTTTATTGCATCAAATTCCTCTCTCGGCTGGTGAGAGGCTCTACCTTTTGTCTTTTTGGTGTCCCTGTATCCAGCTCACCTTTCTCTCAGGTCCATCCATGAGCAGGACCCCAAAGGCTCTCTCCTTCAGGAAAGGGTCTAGCATTTTACTCCTCCACAATGACTTTGTGGGTGACCTGCCAGTTCACGTTTTCTTCAAATTCTTCCCCATTGTGGGGTCTGGCTCTCTCTTGGACCTTGTCTATATTGTTGGTAATCAAGCCCTGCCCCTTCCTTGTCTGCGGCTCCCAGCCTGCTCTTCTGCTCTTACAGGTAGCACCTGGTGCCTTACCAGTCCTTTGATTACAGGAAGGTGAGCCTAGGTCAGAATGAGGAAGGGTCTGGACTCCCTCCCATTCCTGCCTTTGTCTTTGCTGATAGGCTGCCCTCTACCCCTCCAACTCCTGGCTCATTCCCACTCATGCGTCCTTGGGTCTTGCATTTCAGAAGAGCCCCCCCCCTTTTTTTTAAACTGGCCTTACTAACCCCTACACAATGCCTAAGGGACTCAAGCTTGTTCCTATGGTCTCCAGGAGAGGCCTGGGCCTCCTTCCTGAGGTCCAAGCGACAGCCTGGGTAGGACACCAGGGCTGGTCTCCTCAGCAGCTGACCAGTCCTCATTGTGCTCAGCTGCAGCCGTGTCCCCTGTCTTGGACTCCTAGGAAACAGACTCTGGGGGCCTGTCTTTGGTCCCTGGGGACCTGCCAGGCTCACGTGAGGATGAGTTTTAACAGTTAGAGCAAACACAGAGCGACTCAGGATGCTGCAGTTTGTCAGTGTCCTCTGTGTCCTGACCTTCAGTGTCCTCTTCGACCTGCTCCAGCAAGCTCCCCTCCCCCACAGGCCCTTCTGTTGGGAAGGCACCCCCCTTTTACCTGCATTTTGCACATAGAGTTACAGCCTGCCCCCCGACCTACCTGGACACACACGACCGTGGGACTCCCCCGTTCTGTTACAGCCAGCAAACTTTTCTAGTTGATTTGGCATGAGTAGAGTCAGAAGAGACCAGGTGGTAGACGGTTTGGCTGGGAGGCAGACACTCGCACAGAGGTCACTCTTACACATGCCTGGGCTGCAGTAGATACTGCTGTCTCTTTAGTCCACCCTGAGGCCCCTGGCTGCTGTCACCAGGGTCATGGCTGCCACTACTCTTGTCTCATACAATACATCCTAACCACAACCTCCCTTCCCTTCCTTCCTCCTAGTCACCCCTCACTTTCCTCTCCCCCAAATCCACTGCTCCTCCGTTTCTCTTCAGAAAAGAGCAGACCTCCCAGGAATTATCAACTAAACATGGCTTAACAAGATGCAGTAAGCCTAGGTACAAACTCATGTCAAGATTAAACAAGGTGACCCAGTAGGAGGGAAAGGGTTCCTCCTAGGAGCAGGCAAAAGAGTCAGAGATACCCCCACCCCCACTGTTGGAGTCCAACAAAAACCACAAGCTGAAAACCACAGCACAAATGTAGAGGGCCATGCAGGCTTCGTGATTGCCTCTTCGGCCTCGGAGAGCCCCTATGAGCCCCGCCTGGTTAATTCTGTAGGCCACATTTTCCTGTTTTGCCTGCAAGATGTGCTGGAACAATGGTGGCTCAGAGCTGGTGGGTGTGGCCAATCAATGACTGGTCTAACTTGAGGCTCAAACTCAGCCCATGCCTGACACTGTCTGGATGGCCAGGATCTAGAAGCTGGGTGGCTTAGAGACCGAGGGTAGAGCCTAATAGTGCAGGTCTTACAAAGGCCGCCTGATCTACAGACAAAACACCCCAACCCTGGCCCTAGGAGGAGTGTGACAGGTCTGGACAAGTTTTGTGAACCTCTGTGGTCCCAGGGACCCTTGCAGGATAGGGGCAAGGCCTCCTGTTGTTCAGTTCTGCTGTGCCTTGAGAGGGGGAAGGGAGACAACACTAGGCCAGAGGTTGCTTCCTTGAGTTAGCCCACCTCATCTGACCCTAAGGCTTTTCTTGTTCTTCTATATAATTTCTTTCTGGCATCCCTTTCGGTGGGGACGGCCTTACAGAATGCACCAATCCGGAGGCCAGCAACAAGTGGAGGAGTACTAGTCTGTGACAGCCCTGGGCCTTGGATTCTAGACCTTGAAATCAAGGTCAATTCTGGACCTTAAAATTTGTCTAAGATTAAATTCGTACGACAACTTCTTCATCCAAAGATGATAAGAATGAGACAGAAAACTCTAGGGGTTGGGAGGGCCTCCTTGGGTTCCAGAAAGCACCACAAGAGCTAGCTGGCTTCTTCGCTGTTTTCAATGCGTCCAGACATGGCACCATGATCCTGAGATGGAAAAAGAAGGCAACACTGGGT